TATGGAAATGGAGAAACAGAGTATAAACAGAGCATAAAAATAAGCATATCGGCTTTGTGATTAAAAAGACTGGCTTAAAGTGACAATGATCATACATATATATGAAAAAGCTACAGATGAGTGAACAACTGCTGAAGAATGAATGGGTATTTTTACTTTTTTGCTTGTCTGAAGTATTTATTGTCCTTAATTCATTCTATGCCAGTTTTTAGAGACAGGATTATATCACTCTTCTTCATTTATTTCTAATATTACTCCCAAGGAGCACACATCTTTGCTGAAGTGTTCGTAGTGCATCAGGATTGGGCTTCCTTCTGCTTATAAGATTGAATTGGTTTTATAAATACCAGAAGTGGCTAAACACATATCAATAAACATCCCAAGTGCATGGATATTGATAGACATACCTGTTCAGAATAGCATAAACATTCCATACTATGCTAACATTCTTTGGATGACCATTTCTTTTATATATGGAAGAAAATAAAGAGGTCTTAAGTACCCTACAGATATATATATTTGGATTTGATATCCAAGGGGATTTTAGGTAGCTCACACAACCTTCCATGCTCTAAAAAGGCAAAATAAACCTAAGCTAGTGGAAACTGCACTTACTGTGCTTTCAGTATAAAATCATAAGCTTGTTGCAGTCTGTTTAAGTTATTTTAGATGTATACTATGGTACAAGAGTTTTGTGGATTGCCAAGAATACTGTAATTCTCCCCTCAGCTGAAAACAACTGAAAGAGCCATTTGAAAGGGCAAAATTTTTCTTTATTTCAGCCACTGATGCATCAAAGCACGGAAGCATCCACATATTTTCAGGAGTCATTTGTTACTTAAGAATTGAAAGCAAAACAAACCATTCACTACTGCAATGTAGCAAGAAAATGGCAACGGGGATATTTGGAAAAAAAATAAATAAAATGTCGTGAACTTTGATAATATATTGTCTGCAGCTGCTAACTTTGCTGGTTTGGGGAGAGATCTTCTATCTACAAAAAAAGAAAAAAAATTAGAATGGGCATTTCCTGCCAGCTGCTAGCACATACACATCAACATTTGACTTGAACACCTCAGCAAATTTCTTGGTTACAATTTTTATGTTGAGGATGATGTAAATGAAGATGATGGAGCCCAGGAGCTGAATACTATAGATCTTCGTGCTTTTAGTTAAAGAGTTAAAGAGTTAAAGAGTTTTCCTCCACGACGTGCTGAAAGCTTCAGGTGAGCACACAGCTCAAATGGGGAAGTGTTCAAGAAATGAAGTATTCAGTAAGAGGTAATTAGATTCAAAAAGTTGGTAAGAATTATGTTTTTGTAAATGTAATGCTTACTATGTCAAGGGAAAACAAAAAATGAGACAGGCTAACAACCACTGCCTTACATTAGAGAACAAATATGTGGCATCGTTATTTCAGCTCATAACATCACGTTAAAGCTAATTCTGCTTTTTTCAGGAAAAAAAAAGATCAGAATTTTCAATCAGAATTTTCAAGTAATATTTAAATGTTTACCTTTATCTGACTGCCATAAAATAGCTGCAGTGATAGAGTCACTGTGTATTCAGATCTCCATCTTAATCCCTGAGGGCTTTGGGCTGCAGATGTCTAACAGCAGTTTGTTCAAGCATCTTAAACAACAAATAAAGAGCCTTAAGGCTGAAGAGTAGATAGTGCACATTTTCTGCTACAATATATGGATCCAAGGTGTTTGCTGAATCATCCACTTGATACAAAAGCAACTCCTAGCACTGTTTCTTTAAAGGAAATACATAAACGAATGTTGCAAAGTAGGATTTATAACTCCACACATCTTTCATTAAAACTGCAGTACTGTCATGAAGAAGATATATGGTCTTGGCTGATGTCATGTTTTATGTGGCTGTTCTTCCACTTAGTAAGTTATAAGAGACACATAACGCTTAAAAAATGAGGGCCTCTGTACTCCTCATATATTTCATCCCTGATGTTTTAAGCACACTGCCTACTGATAAACATAAAAATATTACAGGTTTTACAGTTCCTTACATTTAGCCACACTTTAAGAGGAAAAACTGAATGGATTTTGTGATTTATGGTGATTCACATCAGGGGATGTAACTCACATCCTGGTTATCTGAATAGAGAAATCATGTGCTGGACAAGTCAACCGCCACTTTTCCAGTCCACAGGCTCTTTTTTATTTTCCTTCCAACATCCCTGAATTTCTTTTTTTTTACAGCTTCCTCATAAAAGACACCAGCTACTTTGATGATTTGTGCTAGATGACACGTTTAATAATATGTTTAGGAATAAAAACCTCTACAGTAAAGCAGACAGAGAGTTCTGAAATGAGGGCTATTCTGTCCCAGCGCAGCTCCTCCTCAGGCTGAAGGCCCTCAGGGCTGTCCCTGCCCGGGTGAGGGTCCCCGGGCTCCCTCAGAGATGTCCCTGTCCTGGTCCCAGTCCCCGGGAGCAGCAGCCCTTGGGGATGCCCCTGCCTGCCCTGTGGCTCCTCCGCAGGCTGCAGGCCCTCAGGATGGAGCCCCTGCACCTCCCGCCAAGTCCCCAGGATGTCCCTGCTCATGCACGTCATCTCCCTTTCTTGCTACACCCACCTCAGGCTGTGGATCTTCCTTACATATTATTTGAGCTCCACGTGGCTCCTGCAGGTGGTTGAAATTTTGGCCTGTGGTGGTAGCTCCCATGGTTTTCAGAGCTGGATGGACCTGGCCTTGACCAACTCAGAGCAGCTCGTGGCCTCCTCCCGAACAAGTCACCTCTTTAGCTCCCAAGGCCCTGCAATTTATGGCCAGTAGTCTGCAACTACAGGGTATTCTGCTTCATTACAAAGGAGGAAATATGTATTGCTCAAGTATTTTATAACTAGGATTCTCACAAATTTATCCTAAAATACCTCTGAAAGTAGTTCATGCATCCATGCATCAGGGTATGGAGGTTTGCCTGCACTCACCTTTGCTCATGCACAGCTTGGATGATCGGGGATGGGGAACGATGTGCCGTGAAGGAGCGGAGGTGCTACAGAGCCTGTGATCCAGGAAGCAGCAACTTGGCTCTGTTCTCCATGCAAAGTCGCCGTAATTCCTCTTTCAGTGGGAATGCAATGTGATGCCACTAGCAGACACAGCTTCCTTCTCCTCTCCTTTCTCTCTCTTCCTACAGAAAAACAAGCCATTTCTTTAAAAACTGACTTGCAGGTTTGAGACAGTTTCATTAAATGTGGTTGACAGTTCTTTCTGTCACCACAGAGTCACAACTGAAAATAGGTGTTTTTTAATTGTTTGCAAGGTGGGTTTACACAAATACAGCACCGGTTGCTTGTCATGTGGGCATACAGTAAATTTGACCTCTACAAACTGCACTGGAAAGCAGTTTGCTGCAGAGTGGAAGGTCTTGAGCAGCACATAATCAAACGAGCAGCCCACAGCACTTCCCCATAGGGTCCAATGGCTGCGGAAAGGAGATGTGTCTAGACAGCAAAGATTTGGCAAAGATTTCTCCTTTGGCAAAGGCTGGCTACGTCTATTCGGTTATACGAATTGATCTTTTAATCCCTGGGTCACTTGCTGAGGGCCTACTAAACATGCTTTCTGGCCAGTATATGACAACTGCTATCCTGTCAAATCCTGCGTTTGATGTGTTATTTTGTGACATGTTTTGAAGTCTCCTAGATGCTTATTCATACACATTCTGCCTCTCAAGATCTGCAGAAGGCCTTGTCTGCATAACATTTGGACTTCCCTGCCTCCATCCACTGCAGGTAGCCCCGTGAGCAACTCCATTCACCGAAATTACGTTTCAGTCCTCCCACCAACAGTATCAATATCAAGAAATGTTAAGTGCGTGCAATGAATCTGGATTGAAATTCGCTTGACCTCCTTCTGAAGATGAGCACCTCGCAATGCAGGACGGGAAAGCACAGGTACCTGTACCCACCCATCCACTCGTACCCACCACCTTGTGTGCTAACTAGCATGTCTGGGGATCTCCTGCAGCCTCTGAGAAGAGAAACACACATTTGGGTGGTCTCTTCAACGCGAGGCAACACAGGATTCAGAGTGATCAGTACCCACCTTCCCCTCCAAACACAAGCGCACTGTGCACTGAGATTGGAGCAAAGGGAAACAACGTGCAATTAACAGGGCAGTAACTAAAGCAGCTGGCTGGGCCAAAAGGAAGACCTGCTATTGCACACACCGTCCCTGGGGCCTGCCTTGCAGCTGGCTTTGGACATGAAGAAAAATCACCCTAGGGAAGCAGAAAGGAGAACCCATCTGCCATGCACAGGCACCACTGCAGTATTAACAAGGGGAATCAGACGGTATTAATCACAATGGACACTGAGTGGGTGAGATCTGGCAGATGGGGTCTTGGTAAGGGCCATGGCTGTACTCCTGAGTATATCTAATAGGTATTTTAAACACTGGCACAGCAATGCATAAAACTCAAATAAAACTGGTAAAAACAAGAACAGAGATTAACTTTATTAAGCTTAGATGTGTACAGGTTCAGAAAGGTTCTGAAAGAAGCCTGTGCACAGTGGGATAAACACTAAAGCTATTAAAATACAAGGACCTGTAATATATACACTGTCTTGTGACTATAAAGACATCATGGTGTAATTCCATAATGCTCCTAAACATCCGAGATGGGCCGCTGTGTGCCTGGCACTGCCAGCACAGGCAAAGCTGACCGCGGTAACCGTGCCAGCATCGGGCGAAGGCGCCCGGTCCACAGGCCGAGCTCCAGCCCTCTCCATAAGGGGAGCAGACGGCTGCCCCTGGTCCCCGGCTGCGCCGCCATTCTGGGCCTCGCTCCCGCCTCAGCGGCCGTTAACGGCTGCGGCGCCGCCATTCTGGGCCTCGCTCCCGCCTCGGCGGCCGTTAACGGCTGCGGCGCCGCCATTCTGGGCCTCGCTCCCGCCTCAGCGGCCGTTAACGGCTGCGGCGCCGCCACGTGACCTTCCCCCCGCGGCGGCCGCGCTGTCGTCACGCGCCGCGGCAGCGCCGGGCAGGGTGAGCGCCGCGGAGGGGCCGGCGGGCGGGGAAGGCGGGAGCAGCAACGGAAGCCGGGCGGGATCAGCGCGCGGCGGAGCCGCGAGCACGCAGCAGGGAGTGGGGGCCGAGCCGGGCCGGGCCTCGTGGTGGAGGAAGGGGGAGAGGAGGCGGAGGGGGCGCCGCGAGGCGGCGGGGCCGGGAGCGAGACCGGAGCTCTCCGCCTCCCGCCCCCCTTCCGCGCGCGCGCCCGGCAGCCGTTGGGCGGCCGTTAAGCGGCCGTTGGGCGGTGCCCGTTCTCAGAGGCGCGGCGGTTTCGGAGGCGGGGGCTGCCCGCGGGTGCCCAACGGCTCGGCCTAGGCCCCGGCCTAGGCTCAGTTGTCGTTATGTCGATATGGAACATGTTTCCCCACTCCCCAGACCTAGTCCTTAAGGCCTCCTTCACTAAGTTTGCCTGGGATGTTTGGCCAGTTCGTAGCAGTTCCCAAGTATTCTTCTGATTGACTTTCGTGTATATATAATTTTTTTTCTTCTCCCTATTATCATATTCGAGGCATTTAAAATTATTATTTTGGAAATATAAGTTCTGTGACATCACCTGTTGGTGAAGTCCATGTGTTACGTGTAGCATGGTATAAAATAAATAAAAATATCCTTTCTATCAAAAATACAAAAGGAAGTAGTTGATGATATGAAGTAGTTTCTTGTAAATTCAGTTTGAAATTCAATGCAGAATAATTAAAAAATTTTTTTTTCCCCTCACGATAATTTAGAGAGTCTTCAGGCCCTGTCTTAAAAGAGTAACTATGGAAATATTTATGATCTCTCTAATACTTTTTTAAAAGTGGTGAAGCATTTTTCTATTCTTTCAGTACAACTATACTGAAGATCTCATGCTGGAGCAAATGAATTTATAGCTGAAGATCTGTCCCAGTGTGCATTGTTAGTGTATTGAGTTCTTAATTGGCAAGTTTCTCTGTGGTAAATTTTAAGAATATATCGTCACTCAGGCAAAAAATGGCAATTGTCAACAGAAGATATTTGGAAGATGGAACTCGGGGTTTCTCAGGTTCAAATAGTAAAATAATTGCTCAAAGAAACTTTGGAACTAGACTTGTTTTTCCAATGTGCAGTTTTGTAACTGAGTCTAGGAGACACATTCCTTAAAAATGTTACAATACAAATGTTCCAGTAAAAATGTTACAACTGCCAGATTGCTGGTGGTCTTTCTTTATTGTACTTAAGCAATTATAAACTCTTCTGTATAGCTTTTATTTGTTTGCTGGAAGAAATTTGTGCTTTCAGTTTCTGGGAAATGGATATACACAGGATATGGTATTGAGTGATATCCAGATCTGTAAGAATAATATTTGAATAGTCATGAACAATAATTTTAAGAGTCAAATAGGTTTCACAATTGGAATTTAGTGTTGAAATATTTCAAAGTTGGCTGGTGTGCCATAGATTCCAGCTATTTCTGGAATGGGTGGATTTTACGACTTTTGGTTCAAGATATATTCTCATTTCAAAAAAACAGTAACACAGAGTTTGAACTGATCGGCACTGTGTGATTATAAGATCTTTCTGGGCCAGTGATATTGAGCTGCAGATCTGATTAGAGACCAAAACCTGCATTTTTCTACTTACACTATTTATAGAATATTCTATTTTTCCCTCTCAGTGAACACTTGGCAAGAGCAAACAAATCCTAGTTCCTATGTGTTAGAGTGCTTTCTGTTGAAAAAATATTCTCGTGCTTGAAAATGACTCTTCTAGAACCAAGTTCAGTTGAGATGTATTTTAAAGTACATAGGAATCACAAAGATTAGATAAGCTGAAACTCCTCCAAAATCCAGTTCTAATAATCTTAAAACCACTGTTGACCATTGCAGCATGAACATTTTGTTTCTGTAGAAGTTGGGGGTTGTTTTGTTTGTTTTCCAACTGAAATTATCTAGTCTATTCAAAAAGTGAGAAATAAGATTCTGTTGATCTGTTAAGTGAAAAATATCAATTGGTTTTATCTGAGAAGTACACGGGAAAAAACATACTAAATTGTATAAATGCTTTCCTTTTCAAAAGATTTTTACTATTTTACATGGTTTAGTCTTAGAAGGATGAACGATCCCTTGGATATTCTGTCTCTTGATTTATGAAATAATTATTAGTTTATTCCAGAAATTAATTAATCCACAAATACTAAAATATCAGCAATGCTTGTTTGGGTGCTTTTTTTTTTTAAACCTTTCAGTAAAATTCTTAATTATGTATTCCTCAGAGGCTTATTTAGGGCTTACTTTTAGCTGTTTTGTGCATTCCTATGTATGACAATTGTCAAGAAATGCGTGTGATAATCGATGAACTTGTCGCCAGTACCAGGCTCCAATATGGTGGCCCATGGCAGTTACTTTGTGTACAGTGGATGTGCTCTTAGCAAGTCCCACAGTGACCTCTAATGTTCAAGGGTAAAACCTGACTTGTTAATTTATTTTATAGGCACAGTTTTGCATATCATTACGACTGAAGATGGTGTCTCATGTTTGTATGTCTAGTTTGACTGTATAACACAGACAGTACGTAGTAACAGCTCTGCAGAATCTTAACCAAACTTCATGAGATTGTTATGTTTGGGAGTTTAATTCCCACTTATTTGGGCAAATAAACACAAAGCTTTATTTAGAATAGTCGTGGGAGAACTAGCTGTTTTTGTAAAGTATCTCGCAATTGTCTTTCAAATACTAAATATGTCTATATCCTAAACATCTTTGTTCCAGACTGAAATCTATGATCATTTTTAGAAATTTGTTTCTGAAGTTTCGTTGGATGTTTTTATTCTCTTTATGGCACTTACTCGGTGTGTTATGTGAATACTTAACATTTTAATTTTGTTAAAACTGAATATTCACCCTTTTTGTTTGTTTAAGTTTGGTCCTGACAAACCAGAACTAACCAAAGTGACAATTTCATGGTACTTGACAGAATGCTGAGCGTTGTCTAGATAAATGTGCATCTGAATTCCCAAGCAAAGGTTGTCCTATTGTTTACTGTAAATGCCATTTACAAATTTAATGCATTGAGAAGCAACACTCTGCCTGAGGCTGAAACAGTGGCAGCTGCTAGTTGTAAAGGGCACTTCAAACTAATTTATAAGATTAATTTATTTTGCCTACCTACATTGAATTGTTGTTGTAAAACGCAGCACAGAACAACCAGGTGCAAGAATGTAAATACTTGTAACGCTGTTCATTTAAGTGTGAGTGCAAAAGTGAAGTAACTTAGTGATGAGGTCGTAGTTAGTAACGAGGCAACATTTTTAAAGAAAAACTAGTGTGAACTGGGTGGTTGAGATTTGTCTGTGGCAGCTATCACCTCCATGTCTGTGCGCATCAGATTGAACTTGCAGAACTTATTATATAATGAGTTAACTATAAACTCTGCACACATGTACCTGTACAAAAAATATTTTCAAAATTGCTGTAATATATAACTTATATAGGTAACGAGGGTAAGGTGACACAGCACTAGTTTGCTCTGGCCTTGAAGTATTGTGAAAGCTTGTGGAGAAGGCACATGTTATAAAGTCCAGACAAGTTCTCCTGTTGAGCGTCATCCTAGTCATCAGTTATTAGACTAGATAAAACCTCGTCTTCAAGTGTGGTTTTTAAAAGTTGTGTATTTTTTCTTGCTTAATTCTGTATTTTATAACATGAAAAAAACTGCCCTTAAATATTTTGGTATTTTTTTGTTGCGAAAATGTTCTTGTTTTAAAGCTGTATGTACCTGACTTCTAAGGTGATCACATTGATTTATAGAAAAAATCATATTGTGATTGTCAGAAGAGTTGGTTATTTTAATATGATATGAAGATATGATACTGTAAGTATAGTTACTGGTTTCTGAAGTAGATTGTGTAGGTCATCTTAAACTAACATATCACTTTTGGCTTGTAGTTTTGCATATAGGTTGTAATTCCCTCCTTCCTGCTCTCTTGCATGCTGTCTTGTAGAAGCACCTCGGGGGTCAATTTGGTTCCTTTGTGGATGGATGCTAATGCTTTGTTTTTACAGTTATGCTTCCTATCTTCCTGTGTTCCTATACTTCTGTGGGTAATTTTTAAGTAGTTAAATTTGCAAATACATTGTAACCTGGGGCTTTCTGAATATTACTTGATGGGTTTCTGCAGGCTGTTTGATAAACAGCATCTTCTTATGTGCAGGCAAGTGTAAGAAAAATAAACATTTTATATGTAGAGAGCTATCTAAATAGCATCTCTGCTCCATATGCTGTAGTACCCACCAGAGGCTCGTTTAATCCCTGGACCTTTTGTGCACCGAATACTTCAGTCCAGATAATGCTGTGCTCCATCTGCCATGATCTCTGAGCTGCACGACATGAAATTCTTAATGCTTTAACCTGTGCTAGCATTTTTGATCTTTTATTTTTCTGATTAATGTCATTTCAACAAGTTGTCAAGGTTAGCTTTAAAATTTGTCAGTTCTGTTTATTCTTTTTTTTCCCCCGTAGAGCAAGTATATTTTTTAAATCCTGAAGTAGTAGATGTATCTCTGAGTTGTTATTTATATGTTTTCTCTGCTTCCCTTGCATCATCTTTTAAATGTGATTCGTACATATTTAATCAAGGTGTCATTGACTGGGCAGAGATCCAGAAATATGCGCTGTGTTGTTGGAACCGCAGTCCTTCATATATTCAGGAAGAATCCTCTTGCTCTACTGACATACTTCTAAACTCGTTACATATTTAGCTGTCAGTGTAGGACAGTCACGGTGCTGGATTTCAGAATTTCACTCTGAAAAGTAGGATGCTCAGAAAATCTGCCTGTACTGGGGGCCTGGAACTGGAGCCCGTGCTCCCGATGTGGCCTCACCAGGGCTGAGTGGAGGGCGAAGATCATCTCCCTAGACCTGCCGGCAGCGCTCTTCCTGGTGCACCCCAGGATGAGAAATACTTCCAATTTATCACATCAAAATATTAAAAAGTAAAAATATTTCCTCCAGCAAATCTCAAAACTTTTTAAAATTATTATTATTTAATTATTGTTATTAATTATTATTATTTTCTTAAAGAAAATGCATGTTCTAAACTGCTAATTGAAGCACATAAAGGTTATAGAATATTATCTCCAAGAGTAGAATGTTATCTTCAACAATGATAGCTACCTAATATTTTATTTATTTTCAGATATTTTAAGCAGACTTTTATTTCTAAGGATCTTTGTTCTATGTACCCTAGAGTCTTTCTTGCAATTGCAGTAAACGCTTTTCATTACTTTTTTTTTTCCCTAAGACCACCTGAGTATAAGATATTATGGTATAATATAAGAAGTCACTGTAGGTTTTCAGCAGACATTATTTGTACGTTTAGGATTGCCCATTTGCATGGGCAGTTACCATAGAATATGTACCCATGCCAATAAAGAGGGAGTAAATTTGCCTGCTTTCTGTCTTTCAAAAAGAAATAGGGAAATCAGTCATGGTGTGAGCCGCGCGTCAGCCTATGGCTTTCACCTCAAAGTGTATGGCGAGTGCTCGAGGTGGTTGAGGAGAAGGTGTATAAAATTGTGCTTGGGAGCTAATCTTTCTGTAAGAGTGGAAGAGGTCTCAGAGATGCCAGTGAATTGAGAAGGGGCTGCCAGCAAAGGCATGGCATGCATTGTTGAACAGACGGCAAAAGGGATTTTTAGTGATTCTGTTTTTATATGAAGTAATTCTAAAGGTAAATCTCTGCTGTTGGAGGCAATAGCCTCTCCTGGTGGATTGGTTTCAATAACAATTTCATAAACAATAAGATAGAAGTGCTGTATTTTAACGAATGTTTTGAATTGGTGAGTTTTTCTTGTTCTGTTTCATAACCTGTTTCAAATCCTTTGTGAAAACTGTTGATACAGATTGAAACTGTTTTAATGAAATGTGCAGAAAGATAATATTATTCGTCCAGTATTTTAAATGACAGATCTTGTCATTGAAAAGCTATTAATATCTATAAAGAATTTAACTGAAGAATTTGCTGATGGTTTACTTTGTAAAACTGACTTTCATCTCTGAAGCCTAAGGCTTCATAAAATTAAGAAGCTGAATCTATGACAGAAATATTGCTTGCAGGACTATTTCATCAGAGTGATGTGAGTTTGTGTTTTGCACAAACACCTCTCCGCTTCTGTATTTCTGAAAATGCAGTAAACTAAAACTGATTATACTGCAAAGTTCTGTTGTTAGAGGGTTGAAGCAATTTGTATGTATTTATGTTTTCCATTATTTTCGTTGTCAAACAGTTCTGTGCCCTTGAACAGTACACAGTCTGTCAGAGTTTCAGTGTGATAGAAGGAGCAGAGACTCTACAAATCCAATAGATAAAAACTACTGTTTAATCTGGATTTACCAGTAGGCAAAGTACTGCATAGAGTAGTTAGGTGTCTTGTCTTTTTGATAGAAGAAGTTTATTAAATTGAAAATTGGCCCTTCCAGAGCTGCTGAAACCATTTTCCATGCAGTTATGTTCAGGAAGTGTCTCCCACAGGGCTTTCAAACCCTTGTGCTGTATCTGCCACATGCACATTTGAAATGACAAGGTTAATTAATTAATTAAATAAAAACATCATTTCAAATGGTACAGTCTTAGAATATCCCGGTTAAACTTACTGCACACATGAGTATCTGTGTGACTACATTTGTTACCCTTGCAAATTACATTTCAGGAACTGATATTTTCACTGAATGTTTCCTATAAAAGGCCACCCAGACTGGCCTGCTCACTCTTGACACAAAGAATATGTAAGGGCAGCCTGGTGTGGAGTGAGCCTAAAGTGGGAGCTACTTAGTAGGATTGTTGGGAGAGGCTTGGAATGGAACTACAGGCAAGCAAAATAAACTCGAACCTCATCAGCAATGCCTGAGTACTCAGCTGGCTTCCAGGGGTGTGCCTGGGATCATCAAACAGCTCTGGTGTTTCAGTGTACTCAGTAGCTGTGTTGCAGGAGTGCTCAGGGATTCGGGGTAAGCAGAAGTTGGAGATAGTGTAACAAGTGGTGAGTAGGAGGAATATCCATGTATTTCATTACTTAGCTGCCTAGTCTGCCACATTTTTCTTTTAACTTTCTGAGGTGAGTAATAAATAAGGTATTATTGTGCTACTCTGTATCCCTGTGATAGAGATGACAGTTTCAGTGGATGAAACTGCATGTTTGCAGTTACCACGTTGTGGAAATAGGGCATGTCTATTGGGTGTGAGAGTATTTAATAAAGAAATGGTATGTGCTACAGTGTTGGCTTTTCTTTATGTAATATAATCCTTCTTTGGAGGTCACAAATGCAATAATAACTTTTCTATGGGGAGATTAAGTTCAGAGTTTTAGGTATAAACTTCAGTTGAATGCTCTTTTTTATTATATTTATTTATTTATTTATTTTAGGAGTACATAATTAGGTTTGGTTTGGTTATATCAGTTTGCTTCTTATTCTGTTATTGCTGAGTCACTTCTGGGAAATATTCTGGTAGCACACTGTCGCAAGAAATGGTCAAGCTAGCTAAAAGGTAAATGTCAAATATCAAACTCTCTTCTGCGGTAGTTTACAAATTCTACTGAAGATTTCTGTTCTTTGTTTTCATGTGCCCGTTCACCTTTTCACTGTGGATGAGGGGAGACCCCAACAGATAATAATTCATTTATCTTTAGCTGTTCATTGCTTGATTACCATGAGCAGTAGTACTGTGTCCTAAAGCTTGTTTTGTAACATTTTTTTTTCTTTTGTTCTTTTTCAGATTATGGCACAAGCTCAAGGTTTTGGGAGGAAATATGTTAAAGCCTTTTTTAAAGGTTTCTTTGTTGCTGTCCCGGTAACAGTGACTTTCCTAGACAGAGTTGCCTGTGTAGCAAGAGTGGAAGGAGCATCAATGCAGGTATTGCTGGAAATGCCTTTTCTCTGTTTGGAAAGTACAAAGGTGACTCACTGACAATGGCAGAATGGAAAGATCCATTGATGAAATTGTAATATGGAACAGTTTAATTTCCAGTGTGTCACAGAAATATTTCTGTAATGTGAAAACACAAACTTGCAAGAAGACTTAGGAAATTTTGTCCCAGTGAAAGTATATAGATAGGTAATGATAAAGATATGTTCCTAATTTGCTGGTTACTTAGAAATAAAGATTTCTCTTTTGAGCACTACTTTTTGTCTTTTAAAACTTGAATTTGGTGGCTTACAAAACAGCTCTATTCATTTTTAATAGATCTATTACAGTATTTTTAAAGGCAAAATGAGAACCTGCCGTGCTGGCTCTTACTAATGAAGAAATGTGGCCGTCAAGAAAATGGCATGAACTTTATGTGAACCTAAATGATTATGTTCATTAGCCATGCATGTTCATTGTTCTTGCTTTGGTTATACTGAATGTTTATCAGTGTAATCAAATAATACAAATATGCCGTGTAACATGTAGAAGAGAATGAACAAATACTGCTGCTTTCTTTCCTCTGTTACTAGGACTTGAAAAAATACTTGTTGTCAAATAGTTTCTATATGACCTTTTTCATATTACCAAAAAAAAAAAAAAAAAAAAAAAAAAGAAAAATCCTAGTACTTGTGATAAGATACTAATTTCCTTGCCAGGATTTCTCCCCAGTATAAGAGGGATTTGGAACTTCTAGAGAGGGTCCAGAATAAAGCAACTAGGATGATTAAGGAACTCAAACATCTATCTTACGAGGAAAGACTGAGTGAGTTGGGCCTGTTTATCCTAGAGAGAAGGTTGAGAGGGGATCTGATAAATGTATGTAAATACATGAGGGGAGAATGTAGGGAGGAAGGGGACCAGCTCTTCTCAGTGGTGGCCAGTGATAGGACATGGGGCAATGGGTACAAACTGAAACACGGGCAGTTCCATCTCCATGTGAGGAGGAACGTCTTCACTGTGAGGGTGACAGAGCCCTGGCACAGGCTGCCCAGGGGGGCTGTGGAGTCTCCTTCTCTGGAGATCTTCCAAACCTGCCTGGATGCCACCCTGTACCCCATGCTCTGGGTGTTCCTGCTGGAGCAGGGGGTTTGGACTAGATGACCTCTAGAGGTCCCTTCCAACCTCAACCATTCTGTGATTCTGTGATTTCTTAAACATGCAATTAAGTCTGCTTTGGTAGGGACACAGTTACAAGGAATACCTCCCTCTTCTGCCGTATAGCCTGAAGGAAAACCAGCCATTGCTTTAGAATTCCATCTGCACCATATTCTCTGGAGAACCATCTCTGTGGAGCACATCTGAAAGCTGTAGGTGTGAGGGAAAGTGAAGTTTAGTCAGCACGTAGCCTTGGATTTATCAATTACATGCTTCCAGTGTATATCTTATTGTTGCAGTATCAAAATGTCTGATTCCCAAGAATTTGATTTGAGATATATTTCTTGAACTTCTAGCTGTCTTTCTGTACTTGTTATTGTGGCTCCTGATGAATCAGCTCATAAGCAGGCTTCATATGCAAGTTCTGTAACAAACTGCTTAATGCCAAGTGTTCTAGCAAGTAGTCTGAGCAGTGGTCTCTGACAAAGCATGTTCATTTCAGCAGCAAATATTACTGAACGTTTTGTTACATTATACATAATAGCAGTTGTAATTATTCTCTGGTAGTTTCTTCTGTCTTATTAGGACTACTGCATCTAGCCCTTTGAGCTCATATGAATATTCTTTCTGTTCCTCAGACTGTAAGGAAATAAGTTGTGACACTCTGGTGTTCACTAGCAGCATGACAACTCTGAACTTAAGCATTATTTATAGTTAAAGGGCATGCTTTTTCCCTCTTACTTACAGTACCTTGTGTCCTGAGAGGCTTCATCACGTGTTTGAGGATCTCAGTTTGCATACTTTAGCACTAGTTCGTAGTGGGAAAGAGTAAATGTTTTGTGACTGCTATGGCTGCAAATTAAAGCCTGTAAGTCTTACTTGTAGCAGCTATTATGCAAAAATCTTAAACAAGTTATAAAGCTTCAAGTTAGAAAAAGGAAGAAGCCAACATATTGTTTTGTTATTTATAAAAATATGAGCCCTTGTGAGCCTGTTTATTGACTATTTTTGTGGAAGATGTATTTCTTGCTTTGCTAGATTTGAGGTCTTGCTAGTAAAAATACCCTGGAGAATAAGCTCTTTCTGAACCCAGCATTAATTTCCTTCTATACTATTTTTTTGCTTTTTCTGGGGAAGTCACTATTTTTATTATTAGAAAGAAACACTCGCTGAAAGGTTTAGAAGATCATTTACAGAAGACTGTGATTGTTGACATAAAATGAAAGCTGTCTCCTTTTGGTTTTGCTTCCCAATGCATTCCTTCCTCTAACAGAATAGTATTTTTGTCTCTCTGTGATTACATTTTCAATGTAACAGGTTGTCCTACATTGCCATATTCCTTCAAACATAATTCTAATGTGTGATGAAATTTCTATGCCAGAACTACATGAGCAAATAATATTGTTAAAAACAGCAAATGATGCTGGCATAACCTTTAAATGCTTTGGGATAGAATAATATCTAAATATATTTACACTGAAAACCATTTCCTCTGTTTAAATACATAAAGCAGTAGGAATTAACTAGAGAAATGCAAAGTAGGCAATACTGTATCAGGAATATTGAAACTATCTCTGACTATGAAAAAAAAGTCAATTTATTTGCATCTTCTGGTGTGTTCCTCTGCAAGATTAATTCTATATTATTGTAGTTGCATGATGTGTTTATGAACACATATGTAAATGTTTCTTTTAGGTATCAGATGTGAAATGCAGTGTGTGTTGGAGCAACAGGTTAAAGTTTCCCTTTATGCTGGCAGTCTCTGTCAACTATTTAAGGCAAATACTTTGCAGACTAAGTAGCTTACTTTGTGAGAATACAGCATATGAATAACTCCCACTGCTTTAGATGAGTTGCTTTGCCTTTGGTTAGTGCCATTGCATGCCTCTGGTCCATCTGTGCTTGCATTTGGTACCGTTATACATTTTGAGTTATTTGTGAGCTTATATGTAAAGAAATATTGGCCTTTGGAAGATGCTATATAGGTGGAATAGCCTGTTGGAAAATCCTGACTAAAAAAAAATAATAATCCAGTGCTGCCAAGTAGTTCCTATTTTAAATTTATCTGGATTTTACAATGCAATACTGTTTGTATTACTGTACTGTAAGTACTGCAATACTTATAACACAAAAAAATCCAGATAAGATCAATATTTTATTTGCTGCAGATCCAGTAAATAAAATATAGATGAGTGTCAGTGTACTTAGAGCTTAGACTCCAACCATATTTCTGCAAATATGGGTATGTGTTTTGGTCTTTCTTACCTAGAAATTTGCCCTGTATCCACAGCTCACAATGTTACTAGGCTTACTATTACTGTGAGCTAAACATACCTTGTCATCAATATTCATTTTATTGTTTTGCTGACCTATGACATTGATTATTGTGTGTATTGTGTGTATTACACCTACTCAAGCCCCTGCCACGTTATGTTCTTGTACATTAAAAAGCTAGTTTTTCACAAGTCCTTTAGAAATAAATCTTTTTCAACCCATTTGACTAACATAGAAAGGAGGAATAAAGAAACTATTAATAATAGAGAGATCAATACCTCTAAGTGGCTTTTGAATTTATAAGTAAATACTAGGTACCCACCCTAGTTCAGGAGTTTTTTTTTTTTTTTTTTTTGTCTGAATAAAAGTAAACCAAGATTTAACACTGTGTGAGTTGAGAACAGTTAACTTTGTTCCTGTATTTCTATTTTGTTCATCAAAGGTGTAATCAGTCTGGAGAAGGGAACTTCAGAAGTTAGCTCTGGTGGCATTTCTGCTGTGTTGCAGGGTGGACACTGAAAAGCTTGCTTATAAACATGAAATTTTACCAAATACTGCAAGTATCCTCTACAAATGAGGGGCTGCATAATGTTCATACTCTCTCAGATGTGGAGGGGTGTGAGATTAGAATCTGCTTTGTTAAATATGTACCCATATTTTGGAGTATAAAGTGGAGGTCATCTGTTAACCAATGTAAAGATACCAAACTTTTATTTGAAGAGACTGAAAAAGCTTATTGAAAAGGGTTCTATGAACAAGCATTGGTGTGGATTGCTCGTAGTTACTTTGATATCTCAGTAAAAGGAGTATTTGTACAGGAAATAATTCCTATGGTAATCAGTGATGCCATTGCACTGTGATTGGGCTGCTTCCTTCTGCCACTGTTGTGGTAGCTTAACTCAGGCTTGAGATGATACTGTCATTTACCCAGTTTCACACAAAATACTACATTTTGGCCTTCATTCTTCCCTAGATACCTTCTAATACTCTGCACTAGTTACTTATTTAATGGTTTTGACTGTTGAGGTGAGTCAGCATTCGTATTTAGTAAATATTTCTGTAGGAGTTTGTGCATCTTGTTATGGAAGGTCCACACCTACTAGCAGTGTCAGGATGTTTTAGCTGGTTGGTTGGTTGGTTTTTCTTTGCAAAATTTACAAAGATAAGTATTATTACAGGCATATATGGCACTTTTCTTGCACTAAGCTTCCATAAGAAGCAAGATGCCTGCAAAAAGTTGGTGTTTTGTGGAAATTAGTTTTGTTCATTCTCTTTTTGTTTTTAATCTTAAATGATATACAATAGAGATAAACACTTCTTTTCATCACAGTTGCCGTAAGCATATATGCTGTGTAGTTTAATGTATATGCAATAATGCATTGAAAGATGTGAATTTTAGTTTATTAAATATTGCTATGTTATACTATGTTATATGTAATTTATTGCAAAGAAAATATATCAGAGTTTTGGTACTTTTATACTTACCGGTGGATATAACTGATTTTTATCAGCTCTAGGATTTGAGCCACTGATGGAATAAGAGTTAGGTGAAGGATTCATAGAGGAAATAGTGACCTAAGGCTATTTTTATTTTTTTTCTTTCTCTTTTTTTTTTTTTTTTTTTTTTCAGCCTTCTTTGAATCCTGGCGGAAAGCAAACATCTGATGTAGTGCTTTTAAACCACTGGAGTATTCGGAATTATGATGTACAGCGTGGGGACATTGTGTCATTGGTGTAAGTAAGCTTGCATACATTTCAATACCAATGTATATAAATCTTGAAACATCAGTGTTTGCATACCTGATACACAAAAGAACACCCCAAAATTTTAATATTCTTTTATTAATGCTCATATAATTAGTTTGCAAAACTCAAGAATTATTCAAAGAATGTTTTAAATAATAGAGATAGTGTAACACACTATGTGATGCAATATAGATGTGTACAGAAACTGGCGAGAGGGCTGTGAGATAAAGAGAGAAAAAAAAACATTATATAGCTTCTTAAATGGTTGGGCTATGCACTCATATTTTTGAGCAAAAGGAAGATTTCATGGAGAAATTTGACACTCAAGTTTGACTCAATTTCAGAGTAATATCACAAGAATTTCAGTTCTCCATGAAGGACAGATATAGCAGAAAAAAAAGTTTTTACAATTCTAATAGGGAGGCCGATGTATTAAGCCAAAAGGTGGCAGTGTTTCTCTGCTGAAAATAGGGCTAACAGCAGACAGAAACTCCATTTCAAATTTAATGTAATATAGAAATGGAATGCCAAAGTGTGCATAACTGGCACAACGATATAATACATTCTCATAGTACATGCTTGGATAGTTTAAGCTTAAGGTTTTTGGTTGTGTAAGTGAAATGCACAGTTATGCGGACTGTAACAGAACTGACTTTTATAAGCTGTAGCAGCTGGTATGAGCTATATAAATGGTCTAGCTACAGATGATTTTATTCATATTTGCAACACCTCACGTTACAGATGGACTTCAGTTTCAGGTCACTTAGGAACTGCTTGTAAAATTTGGTGCTGTCTCTGTGTGCATCCTTGTGCCCAAGTCATGCTCTGGTGATTGTGAAAACAGTGAATGTACCAGGTTAGTAATTAACAGATTGAAAGGAATGTAAATAGTTTAATTCTTAAACTTCCTGAAAGTTTGTGGCAGATCTGAATGATCTGCTCTGATTGCATTGGCTTTGTAATATAGGTGCTCTATGTTGAAGCATCATTGAGGTACTGTGCTTTTTCTCTCTCTCTCTTTTCTTTTAAAATGTTCTGAAAACTTGCCTATTATTGGTCCAACTTACTTATACCTACGTGGAGGAGGTTGTGTTGTGCTTGTGCATTGAGGTTTTTCTTAATTCTTTGAGAAATACACTGAAGAACACACAGATTGGGTAATTCAAAAATTATTGTAGGAACAGTTTTGTTGTGAAAATATTGAAGGATATTTTTTACATCTGTAAAATATTTAGGTACTTTACCACACAGGTTTGTTAAGGGTGGCTTTGGCCTATTGGTTGAATTCACTTTCCTGTCTTCCGTTCAAATATTGAAATAGTTTGCATCCAATTCTGTAAGTTAAAAATCTTGTAATATTTTGCATTGTATTGTAAAGATTTGTAGAGATATTGGCTGTGCAACTGTGTATACGAGTTGTTTGAGACTTAAGCTTTGGTACATGAAGCTTTATTATGTAAAAAAAGTTATTATTATCATTTTCATTTCAATTGTTTCCTTACGGTTCTTATGACTCAAGAGTGAATATATAGGTCATGTAAATGCATTAGTTTTACCTGGTGATTGTTGTATTAGAGGTGTGTCTCTTAAATCAGGGAGGTTGGGAGGTTGGCTGCCTTAGACAAGGCAGAAAAGGGGAGGGCCAGCCCTGTAGTCCTCGACCAGGATGCTTCTCCTGTTCCTGTCAGAAATTCAGATGAGAATTTAATGGTGTGATTGAGATATGCAGAGAGATACATAAACCTTAATTCATACCATCCTTGTTTGCTCAACCTGTGGATTTTAACATTCATCTGCTGTCTCTTTTTAGCTAAGTTATAGTAGAAGATTACAATGAGGCTGTGGGACGTTGATCTTTTTTGCACAGCAAGAGATTGTGAATTACACAAATTTGTGAAATCAGCCACTGCATGTGTGCAGTGTCCATGTGTGCAAATATAGACCAAGTGATGGTCTATAGTTGGGTTTAGATTTAGGTTTATTGGTAAGAAGATTAGTCCTTAAAAGTAAAGCCAGAATCAGATTCAAAAAAAAAAAAAAAAAAAAAAAAAAAAAAAAAAAAAAAAAAAAAAAAAAAAAAAAAAAAAAAAAACAGGAGAAGAAATTGGAAGCAAAGAATGATGTTTACTTGCAGTTTAATATTGTATAAATTGTTTTTTAACTAACTAGCTCTTTAACAGTCTTTTTTAAGATAATGTTTTCCTTTTAGCTAAAGCTAGTGCTTATTGATGCTAGCATTAAGGGAGCTCCAAGTTACATGCTCTATCTTTTGAGGTCACAATTTAAAGTTGATTGAAATTGGAGAATGGTGAATCACATGTCATTATCGTTTAGTTTTTTTCTCTTGATTGATTTCTTATTAGTACATACTATATTACTCAGGCCTAATTTAACAATTTTTGAAGAACCGTGCTGAAGTAGGTCCCAAAATTTCTGTAGAATTTCCTCAGGTGCTGCTGAATGAGCAGACAGGATGAGGAGGCCTTTGCAGTTGGTTTGCCTGTACAGCGTTGGAAGGGCAGCTGCTGTGCGGCTGTAGCCGGGGCGCAGGGCAGTGCGGGCTGCAGCGCTCCTGCAGCTGCTCTCCCTGGTGCCCCTCCTGATGCTGCCTTCCCACTGCAGGCTGGGCACCATGCTGCCCAATTTAGGTACACGCAGCTCCATTCCTGCCGGGTACAGATGTAGGCAGTGCTTTAAAAGGATGTTGTCAAAGAATGATTTATTGCTCCAACATTCATTTACTCGTCTTTACTGAAAACCTCTTATATCCTGAATATAAAATCTTCTCCACTTCTTTTTTTATTTCAGAACTGCCTTTTTTTATTTCAAAACTGCCTAACATTTACTGCTTAAAGTAGAAGAAAATGTTGTAACATGCTGGATTTGAAATATGCAGTGTGTACATGCAGAATGAGCCTTTAATAGACAAGATAAAGTTTAAATAAGCTTCCAAAATAAGGATGACAGTTTTAATTCAGATTTTTAAATGACTTTTAGATAAATACAAATCTTAGACATCTTCTTGTTCTTTATGTGGTTGATAGATTTTTAATGAAAGACTAGGTTTAATGGCTATGGTATAAATAGGGCTGTTGGATTTTGAATGATGGCATTTCAGGACTATTGCTGCAAATATTCAGATACTGATTTTAGCCTCTAGGGATTTATGAATTTAGAGCTGTGGTAAAATGCTAGTGTCCCTCCATTTTACAAAACTGTATGTCAACCTGTAACTTAAAATGTGTGGTTGTGTGTTAAATAGGTGCTGTTGTAATGCTCTTCTAATCTAGAAAAAGTTAGAGACCCACTGCTCTTTGCTCTTTCATAGTTCATTCTGACTCTAAAATGCCTCTAAGGTTTTGAACTAGAAAAGGCTAAACATTTAAAAGCAGTTTGAAACATATTTTTTAATATATTAAAAAGCTATTACAACTTAGAAACATGTTAAAATATTTTAAAATGTTAAGAATTAAAACATATTTTTAAGGACCCTTGTAACAACAAGGAGTTAAATATTTACTCATATGGAATGGTAAGTACTGTGAAAACAAAACCAGTTTCTGTATAAAAATTTCATGACATTTAAAAACATCTCCTATCCGGGTGTAGAATATTAAATAGTCCCTGTAAACTGTTTCCTTGGACATTATTTTCAGGACTTTCTGCAAACACCTTTACTTCCGGTAACTGCTTCATATTTTATGGAAAGTTACGTTTTTGCTTCTGTTCTGAAAAATATCATACAACCAGCGTTCCCACACCTCTCACGTGTGTGATGCTCTGCTCTCCTGTCCCTTCTTAACATCTGCTCAGAACTGAAAATTTGAAAAGACAGTTGACCATGACAGTTTAACTTTTTGTCATGTTCATTCAAATCTGAACAATCTGAATTTTGAAGAAATGTGAACATTTGATGGAAACAATAAATTTCTCAAGTGATACTGAATCAATACATAATATTTCTAAAACTGTTACTATTCATAATTAGTATTTCATCAATGAAAGTAGCTGGGTAAAATAAAAATCAGTAAGAAGGTACCTCGTGAAGGAACTACCTGGATTTTGAATCAGTAGTTGTAATTATGAAAAGATTGACTGTTAAATTCTGATAGATTTAACATGACTGGATATTTAATGGTTCTTGCATTATTTTTGGGAAAGGTTCTTTGTGACTAGGATTTGCTGAGCTGCCTTTAAGAATCCCTCTCCTTGACCTTCCTTAGTCTTCCAATTTCTATTCTATTTTTGTTTTCGCTTAGGTCCCTGTACCGAGTCATCTATCTTCTGGCAGGCAGGAACTGCAAAAGAGGTTGTGCTGACATAGGAGCTAAATAATCACTTTACTTTTGGGGCCTTGGTGACCTCAGAGAATCTTTCCTATTCTGTATCTTTGGCTGGAAAACAATCTCCTATCTCTTCCTGATAAAAATCAAATGTGTAGTTCTGCTTTATTATCTGTGTTACAATCATTTCTTAGATTAGATATTGTATTACATATTTGAATGCTGTGGGTGAAAGACTTGTTGTACACTTGTTTATTTATAAAGTAAGTAAGTTCCATTTCCTAAAGAACATTTTCAGATACTGTACATGATCCCAGGTTTTATTAAAAAATGTTTTGGTTGTAAGAATCACTACTGTTGTCTGACTAGACACCTTGGACCAAAAAGGAAAGTTAAGGGATATTACAAATTATAGACTCCTTCCTGGTCTAACTTCAACTTGGTAATTAAAAAGAACCAACTTTGATCTTCTTCACAGTTAATGTTGTGGAAGCCACTTAAGTGGCCTGGGCTGTTTATGAAAGAGCTGTTCGTGGAAAGGTCCTTACGTGCATTGTTATAAATGTTGTCAATGAGAACTTCGTATTCTTGAAAATTTTGTTGTGATTCATTTATTTTTAGCTTTTAGTCATTAGTTATGTGAAGAAAGCAGGAAGAAAAGTCCTATGAGTGAAGCAGATGTCTGCTCTCTTCAGTAGAAGAACA